CTGAACTTATTAATGTTAAGATTTCGAAATTGGTAGATACTAGAGAGACTACTAGCTATTCTAGCTTAATTGAACAGTGATAATTTTTTTTTTTTTTGGGGTAAATATTGAACCGAAATTAAGATTGCTCAGACATAAACATCATTTAATGTGACAATTACAAGCTCAATGGTTAGAAGTTGATATAGTTAATAGTACTATTACTACTATTGATTCATAAAATTACGGCAATCTCAAAAGATACTCTGAACTGGAGAGTATAACATATATGTATATATTATATATATATTTTGCTGATTACTTGCCTGGGGCAAATCTCTCTCTCTCTCTATACCCATTTATACTCCAACTCTTAATTAGTAAATGATATAACCCCAGTAATCAAATTATCAAGAAAAAGTTGTCTAGAATTGAAAAAAAAAAAAAAAAAAAAAAAAAAAAAACCTTAAGCTTCAACAATATCACCACAAACAACATATATGTTATTACCTCGAAGTAGTTTAGCATTAAATTATTTGCCGAAAGAAAAAAAATAATAATAATAATAGTAATATATGTTAAATCATGTTAACATTTAATAAAAAAAAATTGGAAGCTCGGTACAATTTTTAGATCGAGGAAATAGAATTGATTACTCAGGTTTTCTTAAGACACGTGATGAATAATCAAATATATAATATATGTTAAATCATGTTAACATTTAATAAAAAAATTAAAAATTAAAAATTATAAAAATAATTTAAAATGGGTCCACGGGTCATAACGGGTTAACCCTATCCGTTTTTAACCCGTTCTAAATGGGTTGAATATGAATCTTGACCCATATTGACCCGTCCATTTTTAACTCAACCCAAACCCGACCTAATCCGCCCATTTGTCACCCCTGTAGAAAACTAATTTATACGCTGCCTTGTAGTTCAACCAATATTTTATGAAAATAGTCTGTCTGATGCCATTAGTATAACGATTGCAATTGGTATTGCAGTTACTAACATTCGTGCTTCCAATATGGGGTTAGAAGGGGAAATGAAATTGGGAGTCTGGAAAACTTGTGCATTTTTCTGGTTTGTTACCCAAGTGAATTTTGTGTCGAACTCGATGCAAAAACCTATAGTAATTACCATTTACGTCCTGACATGCCTGTGAATTCTCCTGTTTTAGTTGGAAAAAGTCTAGTTGAAAAATAATGTTGAGACATCGAATTTAAGTTATGTTATTTTAATATAGTACTTGTCAGTAATAGTTAGTAAGTTCATTTATATTTAAGTTCTTGTTTTCATGTAGTACTTTCATTCAGACTTGCAAAGTTCAGTTAAATAAATAAGGGTTAACTGCAAAAAAATTCTCATTACTATCGATATAATGCATATCAGTCCCTGTGTGATAAAAAACCCCCCTTATACTATCAATTTGGTGCGATTGGGTCCCTGGTGGTGTAAAATGACGATAATATCCTCACTTCAGTTGAATAAATTAATAATTATAATACAAGCCATGTAAAACGACCATTTTGTTCAAATTTGTATAAAATGGGGTTTGTTTGGCAAAAAGATAATATAAACCTTAAATTGTATAAAATAGGGATAACCTAAACCTGAATATAATTAAATCTAAAACCAAACATGCCCCAACTATATAAAACACACTTAACCTCATCCTTCCTGCTGACATGGCCTTCATATTGCTGACACCTGTCCAAAAAAAAAATCATAAAAATATGGGTAACACCCAGTTATTCGGGTTAAACCCATTTCTCGTAATCACTCCCTCCAAATTGTTCTGATTGGTTGGATTTGAAGGAATTGCTCGTCAATCCAAATGGGTACAAATCTATGGGTTGTCGCCGGAGATCGACAAGCCCATCTAAAAAATGTGGAGGGCGTGTGCAGCAAATGAAGAATTGTCAAGTTGGCCCAAAATCGACCGGATGGCGTTGGAGATCGACGGGCTCAGCCTAAGAAGGACAACCGCCGAACAAGAAAAATGGCAGCGAAAGGATGAGCAGAACGACGGTTTGACGAGCCCATCTATGGCGTCTGACGGCAACGGCGACGGCGATCGACGAGAAACGGTCTGTTGGTGACAGCAAACGGCGAAACCTGTATCTGTCCAGATCCACGGTGGGTCCAATGAAATATATGGTCCTCTGACAAACTGATTTGTACGTAATTGACGGTATTCGTCGGCGGTAAGACGAATGGGCGACGGCGATTCGGAAAAGAACAAAAGAAAGCTTTGCCCCATCTTGCGAAAGAGGCTTGAACATGGTCTCTGTAAGTTTAATTTATTTATTATTATTATTTTTTTAAACTCCTCTGTAAGTTTCATAATCAGCGTAATAGAGGATCTCATTCTCCTTACAACCAAAATGGTTTGAGAAGCAGTATTGTTGATTGCTAAATATGTAGAATTTGTTGAGCCATATTGTTTCTAAGCTTGCTTATATATTTTTATATATAACTCTAAAGCTAAAATGGCTGTTATCTTATAGGTGCACTCTTATCTTTCTGCACGCGAGGAAAGTGAGACGGATGGCTGGTGTACGTGATGCCAAGAGCAAAATCGTGGAGGCAGAATGGGTTCTTAACTGGGCCGCCTTTATTTTCGTAAGGTTGATATCTCATGTTCATATCACTGCTAAGTTGATCAAAGATGCTCACAAGTTCGAAAAGGGTGTGGTGCTCCCACTTGCTCTGTTTGGGATGGCTGGAATGAATTTGCTTAATATTTCTCTTGGCATCGATCTCTTTAATGCTTACGGGAGAGGGAAAAATCCCCAGTAGAGTAATCGTAATCATCATGATGACTGATCAAGCGTTGAAGTAATTCTCATCCGTTCTAAAATTTCATCCCTTTTATCATTATTTTGTTCTTACAGGGACTTGGGAAAGCATATATATCTTCTACAAAAGGAATTGAATATGTAAATTGTGTTTGTTGTAAATCAAAAAATTAACAGAGGAACAAAAAAGAATTGAAGCAGACATGCATGGAGAGAGAGAGAGAGGGAGAGAGAGCAGACATGCATGGAGAGAGAGAGAGAGGAATTGGGTTGTAGGGGTGGGGGGCTTTTATGCACAAATGCTGAGGGTCTTTTATGCACAAATGGTAGGGAGCAAAATGGGAAACAAAAGGGTAAAATGAGGTTTTTAGTTTTACTTTTTGTAAAGAGTTATCAGGGCCGGTTATGCACTTTTTTTGAATTTTGTAGGCTTGCATGCACTTTTTAAAATCAAATGTCTTGTATTACATTTTTTATCTTATGTATTGTGATGCTTATATGTGTATATTATGAATTCTACCATGTATTTATATATATGAACATGTAACAGACAATGAAGAAACAAACTAAAAAAAGAGCTGCATATTATTAATTCACAAGAGCAGGAGGAGGTAAACTGATTAACAGAGGCCTCAATGTAAGACTCTATTTCTTTCCTTCCCAACAAAGGAACACAAAAACAAAAATGTTCCGGAACCACAGGAAACATTGTCTGCAATCAAAAAGGAAGAATTAAAACCATTAAGATGATAAATATTGAGCAATTCACAAGGAGCAGATTTTCTACAGAATAACACTAAATTAATTACTGCAGAACAAAAAAAATTACCTGAAACAATAATTACATTGCGCGAAAGAATAAATATTTCTGACAATATTTAAAACTTTTTCCCAGTATAGCAATGAATTTTGCCAAATAATGTTTAATGATCTTTTCCAAATATGCAAACCATCACATTTCAAGCAGCTGCGTATCACACAGTCCATCAATTTGCCTTATTTCCAAAAGCTTAAGTTAGCGGAATCCCCAAGGAGAGGACATGAATGCTCTTATTCTGCTAGAAGGAGTTTTACTTCTATTTTGTGTATGGTTCTGAGACTCATTGGGTTAATAAATTGTTTGATGGGGTTTCATTATTATTTTAAATTATTTTTAGTGAATGAATGTTGGGAATTGATGTAATTTGTATTAAAATTTAGGGTGTGACTTTTCAATCCTATCTTCTTCTCTATACATCTATACATAGAGTAAGAGGGGAGAGAAAAGAGCATGTTATGGTAGAGAGGGAGAAGGAGAAAGAGAAAAGGAGAGAGAAAATATTTAGCGTAAGAGAGAAAATATTTAGCGTAAGAGAGAGAGAGAGAGGTGGATGATATAGTTTGTTGGTGAAAAACAAAAGAAAAAAAGAAAAGAGAGTCAATAGTACGTGCTATATGTTGTTGGTGACGAACATTAGAGTTAATTATACGGGAAAATTACATATACATGGAGTCAAAGTTTCATATTTACTTAGAGACTGAGTCAAAGTTTCATATTTCTCTGAAATGGATTGCTGAGGTGGCATATGATTTTTTACTGTTTAGAAAATTGTGGTGCCTAAAATACCCTTCCCTAACAAAAAAGTAGTACCTTCAGTGCAAAAAAGTAGTACCTTTAGTTCAAAAAAGTAGTACCTTCGGAGAAAAAGTAGTACCTTCGCGGGTGTTTAAAAAACATGGTATCTGGACGCCAAAAAGTAGTACCTTCAGTTCAAAAAAGTAGTACCTTCGAAGAAAAAGTAGTACCTTCGTGGAAGGGTATTTTAGGCACCACAATTTCTAAACAGTAAAAAATCATGTGCCACCTCAGCAATCTATTTTAGAGAAATATGAAACTTTGACTCAGCCTTTAAGTAAATATGAAACTTTGACTCCATTTATATGTAATTTTCCCTAATTATACAAAGATTATTTAAAAAATATTTTATCTCAAAACAAAAAAACGAGTGTAATGTGTTAAAATAAGAGAATACAATCCCGTAATTCAGTAAAAGTATGGTAAGTTCATTGTACATATCTTCGTGTAATTCAATCGTTAAAAGTTAAAATTATTATAAAATATATATAAAAAAAAAATTATACTCCGTAACTAATTAAAAATATTTATTATTAATCGAGAACTTGAATAGTTTTTTTTTTAAAAATTTCTTTTTATTTTCCGAATTCTTCAGAATTCATCCCTAACCATGTGAACGATTCCCAAGAACAAACTTGTTCCAACAGGACGCTACCCATCGAGACCCACCATGCCCTTTGTGGTGCCTTTGCGCAGAAGGGGGTGATATTCGCACATTCCACGTCTCTCCTCTCTCCAATCACACAATTTAAAGCCTTGATATGCGTAATTTTAAAGCCCATTTTAGACCCAATCTCAAACGCATATGAGCATCAAAATCACACAATCTGAAAACCCTAGGGCTCAGGTTTTCCTCTCGCGTGAAACTTAAAACAAGCAGCGAAGCTTCGGCGACAACATCAGATGACCTTCTGACAACTTCCAGAGACTCCGAAGGCTTCCCCCAAGCTGTTTTAGAGGTACGTCTTTCTCTACTTCCTCCATTTTAGAAGGTTTATGGTTTTTCCACCCATCTTCTTTCTGGGTTTCGATTGTAAAGATCCTATAGCAACTATACAGTATACTACTGTGTATAAGTCAGATTTAGTTTCTGGGCATTTGCGAGTGTTAATCTTGAATAAATTTGACTCTGTTCACTCTAAATTAGCTCCAGTGTACTCCTATATGTCACTCAAGTTTCTCACATTTCTTGGTTTCTAATTACTTACTGAGGGGAGGAATGGAGGATCTGGCTGCTGAAATCTTTTCATTTGTATCGTTTCTCTTGTGTTTGGTGTGAATTTCTATAAAATTTTTATATTTTTTATTTTATTTAAGGCTTATATGTTTATTGTGTTTGATCTTGGCTAATTCTATGTTTGATTTAAGTTTAACTTAAATCTAGTTATTTATTTTTTACTCATTTTTTAGTATCTTATGATCCTTGATCTGATCAAACGATCAGATCCTGTAGACCCTTCATCTATCCAACATAAATTTCCGTTCATGACATTTTCCATCAAATCATTTTTGCTTATTATCAAAAGTTGAATGGTGATTTAAATATGTGTCAGATGTCTTTTCTTTCTTTTTCTTTTTAAGGTTTTTATGTTTTCCTCATCCAAATAACCACCCTTTGTATTAGAAGATTGAAGGGTTTGGCGAGTTAATTATGGACTGTTTGGATATTCTACTTGTTTGTTTCATATTGGTTCTGTTAACCATTCTTTTTGTTTTTATTTTTGGTTCCATAGTTGATCTTTGGTGCCTAAAAATTTGTATCTGGTTCCTTTAAAGAGATCATGTCCCTTATTTGAATTGCAGTTTTCAGTTTTCACCAACTTCAAGTTCCTGAAGCGCCCATTACAAAAAGTTGATTTACTATTCTATTCTACAGGGGAAACTTCTATAATTTTTTACTGGAATTTGATAGATCAATAGAATATTGATATTTCATCTTTGCCGTGGGTTGAGGTTCTCTGTAATCTCTAGACATGCTTAAGGTCCCTGCTCATCAAGTTGCTGGTCATCAAGCCCGTGATGGAAAGCTTGGACCCCTTGTGGATGATTCTGGGCGCTTCTACAAGCCTCTCCAAAGTGAAGAACGTGGAGCCGGTGAGTTGGCATTCTATACATCATTTTCTTCAAACACAAGGATCCCAGATCATGTTCGCAGGTTCTTTCCTATCTTCTATGGCACTCAGCTTTTAGAGGCATCTGATGGCTCTGGTCTGCATCCTCACCTTATTCTGCAAGATCTTCTCTCAAGTCGCCTCAACCCCTCCGTTATGGACGTTAAGATGGGCTCAAGAACCTGGCCCCCTCAAGCATCTGAGGACTACATTCAAAAATGCCTGAAGAAAGACAGGGAGAGCACAAGTATCCTATTGGGATTCAGGATATCAGGGTTGGAAGTCTTTAAGAATAAAGAAACAGGATACTGGAAGCCTGAAAAGAATCTTATCCAGAACTTATCTGTGGAGGATGTTAGATTAGTTTTGAGAAAGTTTGTTTCTTCTAATGGATCAACAGATTTGGATTTGGAACCTAATTGTTCTTTCGCATCAACTGTATATGGCGGGTCTTCAGGGATTTTGGCTCAGCTGCTGGAGCTGAAAGCATGGTTTGAGGATCAAACTATTTTCCATTTCTATTCATGTTCGGTTCTTCTACTATACGAGAAGGAGTTGGCATTGGAAGGGAGGAGCTCAGGTGCAGAAGTCAAGCTTGTTGATTTTGCACATGTTGTGGAAGGTGGAGGTGTTATTGATCATAATTTTTTGGGTGGTCTTTGCTCTTTGATAAAGTTCATCTCAGAGATACTTACCACTCCGGGTGAGTACACAAGTAATGCCTATCTTCCGGACACTGGGAAGAAGCAGTATTGTTCTGACAATTGTATCGATCAATAAATAGAATACTCATTGGTGAGTCTATTTAATTGTCTACCTTGCCCACTACTTATCTTCACTGCTCCATTGGGAACATTTGAATTTAACTACTTTTCGGCTTTGAACAATTGGACCTTGAGTTTGTCGAGATCAATAAAATTTGTGTTAATGTATTAAGCTACTAGTTAAAGAAATTCTAGTCCATGCACACTTCTACTGAAAAGAGTCAGATTCTTATTACTTGAATAAACTCTATTAACATTCAAAATTGCTACACTTTAGTCTTCTCCCTGTTCTTTGTTATTGCTTCGTTATGATTCAAGTCCTGACCCAAATATATTGGGTCAGCTATTGCATTTTCTTACCAAATTCTATTGTAGCTCCAGCCGCGGTGTGAGTTATTTTTGTGCCTTCTACTAAAGATCTGTATTATAGCTGCTTTTATGATTATACTAGGCAAAACTAGTATTCCCTGTTAATGCAGTTCATGTGCTGATTTGAGGTCCAGTCTACTTTGTAAGGGAACTGAATCTTAGGTTGGCCAACCTCATTAGTTTAGGATAAAGGCAAGGATGATGATATAAACGCGTGGCCCCTTATATGTTTCAACCTCTGCAAATTTGCTAACTGTTTTGGGAATTTTAAGCGGGCAACTGATTTGTGGCTATTACAATATAGATACGGCTAACTGCAATTCATCATGATTGAGCAGACAGCAGTCTGATTTAATTTTTCCGGGTGATCCTTTGGTTGGGTAGCTGGTTTTGCTTTTCTTTGTTGTTGTTGTTGTTGTTCTTCTTCTTCTTCTTCCTTCTTTTTTTCCCCCTCTAAAGTGGCTTTTGCTTTCCTCTTCTTCTGGGGTGACAATCACTTTATTATAGTAAAAGTGTTACAGTGTAAATGTTGGATATGATGGAATCCAAAGCTCACACAAATTCCATATCAAACTCTTTAATGACGCATCATTGCTAATGACTAGCTTTATCTCCAGAAATAGGGTATCTTGAGTTTTATATGGCTTGGCGCATGCACAGTCCTAGCTTAAGCTGTATTCTTGATTTTCAAAATCACAGAAGGAGCTCAATAGTCCAGCATTTATCCATCTTCATGAGGCTTTGTAAAGTTGCTATATTCCTCCAATTAATCATTAATAATATTACTCTCTTGATCTTCATGTCTTATCTACAAATCATTATTACGGGCTAAAATCTTTAGCTTCTACTTAGTTCTTTGCACTGACTGAGCGCTACTGTAGCTAATTTGAGTCTCAGTCAGAGGTCCATCAAGAATACTGAACTTATTTAGATGCTGTCACAATTAGGTTACAAGGAATCTAGTGATTACTGAACATTTTGTTTAGTAGGCAACTCTATGAGCCTTTTGGATCTGATCGCTGGCTGGCTTTATGTCATTTGGTCGAACTACGTTTGGACTATGTTTTGGTGATTTCTTCGCAAACTTTTCAAACCCTCAAGTGGGTTTTGGAACTGACCCTCAGTTGCTAGATTACTTAGGTTTTTGAAGGCTCTTGAGATCACCGACTTTCTCATTTCTTGGTTCATGTCATGCAATGGCTTGCAATTTTGGATTAATGGACTGTTCAACATCTTCCTTATTATTGTTGTGCTTTAAATTTATATGAAGAAATGTTCAGGTGAAGCGAGACCTTTATTTGCCACTGTTTATTTCACTTTTACTAGTTGCATTGAAACGTAACAAAGTAGATCACATACTGGCAGTGTGAGTTTTGTGTCTCTATCTATATCCTATGGAATATTATAGGTTGTAGAAGTGCTGATGGTTATTGCTGATAGAGTAAAATTGGAATTTTGGAGAAACTAAGATGCATGAACCATTGTATTACTTGTTTGGTTTGAACCTGAATAGAGAAAATTCTACTCATGTTTAATTGAGCATATGTTTGTTTACAGATAATAAGGATCATTTACTCTCTATGCTTGTGTTTATGCTTGCATTCAGAGTTAGAGCTGTCTACGAGAGTGCCTCATTTTATAGTTTAAAGATTTCAATGGTGTTAGTTCTGCTTCAACTGTTGCACAAACTGGTAGGAGTATAATTTTTGAGTTGCATAATCACGATCGCTAGTATGCGTATCTTCATCGATTCCTAGCATCATTGATTTCGTAGGAACATATTGTACGAATGTATGTGGTGGAGACCGCAAGAAGTTTTGCACCCGTATATGTGTTGGAGACTGCAAGAAGTTTTGCACCCATATATGTGGTGGAGACTGCAAGAAGTTTTGCGCCTATGTCAGGCGTGAGCGTAGCTACATTATGTTCCGGTTATTTTTATTTATTTGGTATTATATATTTTAAATTTTTTTTAGGGTTCTTATTTAGGATTTGTGGGCAAAGGCCAACTCAGTAGCTTCATTTTATCTCCCTTTATTGTTCTTATTTTTGTGTTGCTAATCAAGATAGCAGATAGCAGACTGTCACGGGTTTAGAGTTTTAGCACCACTCTAGTTACTCCCATGTAGACCTGTAAACGGATCGGATATGGACCGGATCACGGTCAATCCGATCCGAATCGGATAAGCATAATAAGCAATCCGATCCGACAATCCGACGGATTCTTGCATAGTCGATCCACATCCGAAATTCACTCTATCGGATGTCCGATCCGATAAGTCCGATCCGTTTACAAAAACACAATCAAACAAATTGATACAAAATTAGGGTAACAAAGAGAGATAAATGGGTTTTGTATCAAAGAAGGAAAAAGAGGGAGAGATGGAAGAAGAACGCGAAGAAGGAAGAAAATGATGAGGTAACTTTTACTTGAAAATTAGGGCTTTCTAATTAAATCAAAGAATCCACAAAGAAAAATTTCTTACACACACAAAGTACTTGAGTTATACAGGGAATGCTATGAATCTATGATTTCAAAATAGAAGACAGGGTGGACATTTGTAAGAAAAGAAAAAGGGGACATTTGTAAGAAAAGAAAAAGGGCAAATAGAAGAAAAAAAGAGAGAAAATAACTAACTAGAAATTACTCTGGCAGTCGCTGACTCCCCCTTCTCTCTTCTAGCAGCAGATCGATGACTTGCCCTTCACCAGCGTTTATCTGACTGGAAACACGGTAGTATTGTATATATAACATTGTGATTAATTTAATTTTTTATTATTAAATCTATACAAATCTTATATGATATATGATATATATAATAATATATATATATAAAATAAAATATAAATATAATAATATATTATTTTAATCGGATCGGATTATTAATGGATCGGATCAACCTAATCCAAATCCGATTTGTTAAGTTATCGGGTTATCGGATTCGTATCATTATCGGATTTGATGCTAAATCCATATCCGACTAAACGGATCGGATTCGGATCAAAATCCGATCCATTAACAGGTCTACTCCTGTGCGGCACTAGGGGTGCAACTTGGGTTGGGTAACCTGAACCTAACTCAAGTCCAGCCCGATTTTTCATGGGCTTGGGCAATCATTTTTACAATTAAGGTTGGGTTTGGGTTGAAAAATCTCAATCCGAATTTAATTAGGGTTGGGCTTGGGTTGAAGTGTTAACAACCCGAGCCAACCCGAACCAGAATTCTAATAGTATTTTCATACATATATTTATTTTTAAATACATTATATATAAAATTTAAACTATGATTATTTTTTTTCTTTTCAACTTTTTTTGTTAAATCTTAACTTATTGTATATTAGCATTTAGGAAAATTAATTTTCTAAAAATTTGTTTGTAATTTATTAAAAATTTACAAAAAGTCTTTAAATTTTTTCTTGTGTAAGAGTAATTTAATCTGAAACTAATTCAAGATCATATTAAATTTTCTGTATAAAGATTAGCTATATGAGTAATTCGAAATTTTAACTCGGCATCTAAGCCCGAATTTAAAAGTTAAAGGATGGGTTGAACTCGGATTAAGTAGCTAAAGTTAAGAATATGATTAGAATTGAGCTTGAGTTTAACATTTTATATGATGAGTTGAGCTCAAGTTATACTTTAAACTCGCCCGAATTGCAACCCTACGTGGCACCAAGAGGCGGGGCGTGACAAGTATGTATATATAAGAGAGTGCATCATGTTGTCTGTTTTTGGGCGTAAATTATGCCTTATTATCTCTCATGAGGAAATACAATTGTACGGTGGGATTGCGACCACTCCCCTTGTCAAAGCGTCAAGGGTGTATGTTAGTTTTACCTTTTTACCCTTTATATACAGAGTAGTCTTATTTTAGGTAAAAAGTGGAGTTAAATTGAGAATGTAAGGGAAATTTTGATAATTAATTTTGTTCCGTTAATCAATTATCAATTTCTGTCCTTTGACTTTGTTTATGAAAATGGAGGGTAATTTACCATTTAAAAAGAGAACCCTGACATCAGGTTCATGCTTGACAATTAAATTGAATAGGTTTATTTATTTTCAAATCAAGCAAGTAATTAGCCACGTGGATCTCCCCCCTGTGATAACGAAAACCATCTCTCCATTTCCTTTGCTAATTATATAAATTAGGTTTAAGCTTTCCAACTACTTAATTAGGCATTTTCTTATTGAGTATCTTATAGAATTTTGTTGGCCATTGAACAAAATTAGGTCAATAACCACTTTAACTACCCCGGGAAGTAATCAAAGTTTGAATCTTGCGCGTTCATCATCTCTCTCATTCATTTTCATAAAGTTGACTTGGAAAATTAAGAAAGTTGAGATCTAAAATCAGGAAAATGATAGAAAGTTTCCTTGAGAAAATTTAGAGCGTTGAGATTTGAAATCGAAAAAATGATGGGAAATTAGATATAGTTGTAGTGCACAAATAGTAATGGTATAAGTTAGCATTGATGAGCCAGGTATGAGTTACTCAAATTCTAAACGTTTTACTTTGAAATGAAAAGAAATATTATTAAGAGTATTTACTTTTTGGAAAATAGAATGCCATTGTTGACATGTGAATTCACTTTATTTGAATCAAATGAATTAAGATCTGAATATAAAAGCCGCATTAAAGTTTAGTTTAACATAGACAGAACTCCTTGAGTAATGCCACAAATCACGCTGTTTAGTACAAACGATAGCAATTATTGTAATACAAATGTTCAGGAGAATTATATCAGCTTAATACGTGTAAAAATTTCTTATTTGACTTGTGTATTCATTGTGTATTTGAAGAAAAAAAAAACATATCTAAAAGGCATATACATTTCAGAGTCAATACATTGGTTGGTGGTCGGTAACTTAATTTCCACCATCCTTGTACGCAGGGATGACATTATCTATCCGTCACCCGGACGCAGATTCCACCTTATCCATGTTTAGTGCTTCGTGGTCCCCAATCCAAACGGGACCAAAATTCCACTATCGTTTGCCGGCATCAACTTAATTTCACCTACCATGCCTCCACTTCTCTATCAATAATTCTAATCTCAGAAAATCAAGTACTAAGAAACGTGAAAGACACAAACTTCTTGTGGCTACAATCACTGTACATGAAGAGAGAGAAAGATGACAATGACTTTTCTATTGTTGGTTTTCCAACTCATCTCAGAAATTTTCTTTGTGAAACTCAAATTTGGTGGTGGTCTTGCGAGAAAAATCTGAAGCTAGCTGCTTTAGCTCCTTTGTTGGTGCGGGTGCCCCACAGTAAAATACTCCTGCATTTATGAAAAGACAGAAACTCCATTAAAATATAATGTGTAACATAATCTTGAATATTAATTGCAATCATCATTGACAAAACCACTATCACTATTATTTATGTACCTTTCATCTTTTAAATGAATATAACAGCGAGCATCTTTTATATGAATATGACAGAGAGAGAAGAAAAAAAATGTAGAGACTAGATGCGCATTCTACGCGTAGGAGGTTTTGAAAATCTGTCATGAACTTTCACTAAACAATTTCAAAGTCAGGAGTATGTGTCAGTCATTCCTATATGCATTATTGATCAACAATATTGATCAAATAATTAGTAAGACTCACCAATTTTGGCATCAGTGTGATTGAGAGCAATGCGTTTGTAGACATTGCGCCAGTTAGGCTTGGCAAAGTGGGATTTCACTCGGGTACCAGAGACAACGTCGACGCCGTTCTTGGCATGGTTGAGTGATTGAAGCATGGTGATGAGTGCTGAGCGGGCGTCACCTTCTTCGTAAACGCTAGTGCAGTAGGTGTGCATTTCTATAACTCCCTTGTTATCCAATTCAGCAACCTCATTCATCACCCCTTTAAACCACTCAAATGAACCTTGTTCCCTTGTAACCCAATAGAAGTATGCCTTCCTTGTTTTGAAGTTGTTGCCACCAACGGACCCAGCTTTTCGCTTTGGTGTGCTGCCACCACCAGCCAACCCGTTCTCTAAAGCACACTCTTCTTCTTCTTCTTCATTGGCCTTCATATTATTCACAATGTCTTTGACAATGCTTATCATTGGCGTCGCCCCAATTCCTAACCCCACCAGTAACACCACCTCATATTTCTTGTAGTCTTGTGCTGGTGCCCCATATGGACCATCAATAAACACTCTTGGAAAACTGTGAATCAATTAATCATCGTCATCAATACCATTATCAATTCCATGAAATACAAGTTGTGACGGTCTTAAATGCAATGATGATTTGTTTCTTAAAGGACTTTTAAAAATGCATAAAGTTCTTTGACGGGGAATCTCCAATAGTAGATGAAAATGACAATTTGACGGGGAATCTCCAATAGTAGATGAAAATGACAATTTGGAGTCATTTTTGGCCCATCCAGATTAATTGCCAGTCGACAAGGCCACAGATTCACATACATTGGTACCCTTGTTGTCAAGAGGGTGGTTATTAAAAAATTAACTTCAACTCATAAGCCATGTGTTAAGAGTGAAAAAGAAGGTTAGCCTTGTTTGCGACTGTAATTTGATATGTTTGCGTACTTCTGAGTTGAATAGTTCAGTATTGGGGAAATGACTTACTTTGGATTGTTTACTCCTTGCAAGCAGTCCGCTCTGAGGAGTCCACTTTTCCCATTAAGCGGTGGCTGGCACACCTAATGAAGACCAATATAAGAAGAGTTTAGTAACAGAAAACAGGAAGCAGGCCCTAATTACTAAGAAATATGATAATGCTGCTTTATTATAATCGTGACATATTGGGACCCACAATGTAATTAATGGTTCCTCTTGAACATCAAGTTTCAAGAATTTTAGCATGATTTGTTTGATGAGCTTTTAGTGATTCACTTGAACATTGTCAAATAAATATCATTATGTTCTTTGCATCAAAATTAGTTGATGTGTTTTGATGCCTTCTATACTAACATGGCATGATTTTATCGACAAGCCTGATTGAATTGTAAAACTGTCCAAGTAGTGCTACTGAGGCTAAGTACCAAATCGTTAACCAGAAGCAAGCATAGCAATTTTCATTTTCTCGACAGAAGACCTATTTCAAATAGAGAGAAGCTCACCTCTGAGAACACAGTTTTAAGTTGTCGTGTCCAATCACCAAGAGTCCGGATATGAACGCTCAGGTATTCATCTCTAGGGGCTGAAGTAATGGAGAATGGGTGCCTGTTGATAAGTAAACCACCAGAAATCAGCAAACCAAGCAATAAGATGCATGAAAGAGGTAGAAAGATTCCTTTTTTTTTTTTTCTTTTTTTCTTTTTTTACTTTTAGATATGTTGGAGAAAGAATTCAATCTATCCAAAAAAAAAATGATACATTTGTAAAAAGGTGAAATCCTGTCAATCAACAATTAATATTAAAGCCTAGCCCATTCAGCAAAACAAAAATAAATAAAAAAAGTTTAAAATGAGTCACCTACCATTCAAATGGAGAAACAGCAGCACAGTTGACAAACATGTACTGCCCACTCTTGTATTTGAAGCCCTGAGGCTTAGACGTGTGAAGTGCCAGCACATTTCCAGGATAAACAGCCACCTTCAAATTTCAACATGATCATGTGTATTAAACAATATACTCCATAATGTATTAAACAACCACATACATATATATACATATGTGTGTGTGTGTGTGTGTGTGTATGCAAGTGCAAACAAGATAAAATGTTTTACCTTTAGTATCTTGACAGGCTTGATGCTAGATCTGAATGCCCTAATCAATCTTTCACCAGCATATAGCATGACAGGAACTGCCAAGTACATCCAGGTCTGCCAATGCCAAAGGGTGGTGCAAATTAATTTGAAGATTCATACAAATCAAACCATAGAAAGGACATTAATAGATGCGGATTGAAATGAAAAATGACATGGTACTAACCGTTTTCTTGTACAATGGACCACGGGTCAGGTAAAGCTTGATTCCATGAACAATGAGCAGAGTGTAGACAATAACGAAGAGGTGATGAGAATACCAGAAGGCATTGAATCCGGTGAGCTTCTTGAGAGGTTTGGGTAGGTTGAGCTTGTTTCGCCTAAACCATGGAGTCGCGAGTGTGAAGGCAATTGCCATCAACACTACCATTAAGATACCGGTCACCCCCTCCACTTCCTTCAGAAAGTGCCAGTACTCTTTAGGCTGGTCCCCGAAATATTTCATCATCAGCTTTTCATACTTGTCAGAGTCTTCATGCATAAGACGAGGAAAATCACATGATAAATGAGCAATCGCATGTATCCCAACCCCAATTGCAATCGCCACAGCTATTACCTAAAAGGAAAAACTACCATCATTTAGTATTAACTCCTCACAACTCAATTGAATATGTGGTATATGTATATATAGAGCAAAAAGATTATTTACTTTGTGGAAATTGAGGTTGTCATCAAATGGAACGGCAACTCCTAATTTAGTCTTGTTTCTGAGCCAGGTGATGGTGTTCCGGCAGACTGGTAGTAAAATCAGAGCCATGTTCAACTTAAGGGTCTCTGCTGCACCTTTGGCCATACAAACACAATGACCCATTACCTCATATGCATCATATTTGTTTCGATACTGCACATACTTGTATGCGAATAGAGCTGCCATAACCCCAATCCAGAGTGCCATCACCCAAATTCTCCGCCAGTTATCCAGTAAGAAATACTTAGACTCTCGGTACCATCTCTTTAAAGGGCTTTCCTCCAGAGTAGGCTTAAGCTTCTGGCTCAGCATAAGGCTCAAATTTCGGCTATCACCTCTTACAGAATGACCCGGAGCTTGCAACAAAAGCATCTCCAGGTTTTCTACCTGTTCACAAATTGTAATAGGAAAATTGCAACAAATTAGGAGACCCCTATTCATGAAACAAACTGATTAATTCCTCCTTTAATCAATGAAATTAACATAGATTATCTGGTTTAATGTCCTGTACCATGATGTACCCATGATGCTCAGGATCTAACTCTTCCATGATCAATGCTGCATATTCGTCGGCCTGTTTCTGGAGACTCGAAAGTTTGTTTGCAGAAGCACTAAGGCAGATAATCTGCATTATGTACCCAAGTTATTGAATCATTAAGTAAAAGAAGAAAATTCCCAATTTGGCACAAAGCAAAAAAAAAAAAAAAAAATCTTAATTCTTCTTTTTTCCTGGTGAGCATCTTTTTAATGATGAATTCTTGCAAATTTCCAAATACATATAAAATCCAAATTATGAAATCTTGCAAACTTTCAAACACATATAAAAGCCAAATTCCGATTTAACCCATCTTTCGAATGATTAATCTTACTAAAAGCACTTACCTCTCTGACCTCTTCTTCAGTGATTCTGCCATCTGCATCTTTATCAACCCTGCATTAAATTTATCATCTGATTCATTTCATGCCCCTCCAAAAAATAATAATAATAATAATAACAATAACAATAATAATAATAATAATAGTAATACAGGAAATGCTTCATTGATGAACCTTTATTCGTACATACATGTCAAAGAAAGTCTGAAGCCTACAATCGAAGCTCTGATCCGAGATTTGGTCCCAAAACTCTTTGAGCTGATCCTTGTTGATGGAATCACCCATTATGTTCCGTCTCCGGGCAAGTGCATCGAAAAGCTCTCCCGCAAAATCTTTCGACCCTTTCATCCCTGCCATTGCATACCCAAATCATAATAACCAAACAATTAGACATCAAATTTGGATATATTATATATAGACACACACACAAGCACACAATACAGCAATTTCTGACCATTAAGATAATGCGAGTATGTAGTTTTCTGTTTAATTACCTATGCATTCACAGAAATTTGAACGAGGAAGCAACCCATTGGAGGAAGCAGTGAGGTCGTCGAACCGCTTCGCCACCGCCGGCCACCCAGCGCCGCCATCGGTCTTACTGATAAATTTGAGCCCCTTGAGGGCATGACCGGCCGCAGATTTGGTCCGGTCGAATCGAACCGGGTGGCCTCGTTTGGAGAAGGAGGCCAAACGCTTGAGCTCTTGGGACACCTGTTTGATCCGAGACGAGGCATTCCTCACCACCGATGAACCGAACGAAGACCTCTTCTCGAGCCCTTTGGCGAGCAGCGTCAGTTCTGGGTCTTCGACGTCGGCTCCGTCGGCGGTTTTGACGCTGTGAACGGCAACGGAATCGTCGCGGACGTCGAGGGTGATCTCCACATAGGCGTCGTCGGCCAACGTGTCGGCGAACCTAGCGCTTTTCCGGCCAGCTCTCTTGCTCAGAGGTCCGCTCAATGGGCCACTGTAAGATGTCGCGTCGCTTCCAATGACCTCCGTGTCCGAATGGTGGTGGCGGTGGTGTTCTGAGGGAATCGCTTTTGCGTCATCTGTGCCCATTTTCTGCATTGGGATTTTGGACTGACAAAAGTGCTCACAGGCTCGGAACACAAGGATATACCACCAAATATATCTCTATATGTGGGTTGGAACTTGGGTGGGGGCTTGCACTCTGTATACAAGCATATATGTATATATTATATTATATATATATATATATATGTATATATAAGTGTGCGTCAGTGTGTGAGAAAGATGAAGTTTGTTTCGACTTTCAAGTTTCAATGATGATAGTTAGAAAGGATTTCATATATTTATATATGATATAGAAGTGTGTGTCATTCCGCGGGAAAGATGAAGTTTCGATGATCGTCGATGGAAAGATTTCTCTCTAAGTCGTCCTTCCCATTAAGAACTTTTGACGATTAAGGCACTTCCTGGTAAGACCGGCCATTGATTGTGTCATACTCTTACCCCTCAATGGTAAGTACATACATCGTGCATGTTTTACATATATATATATATTCACACACTAAAAGCCTGTATACATCCACGGCGATTCCTCACTAGCAAGGAGCTTGTCAGTTGTCATAGTCATACTGTTGTTACGACTACGTACATACGGACCTTTCAAAAAAAAATGACTACGTACATACGGTCTGTTATATCTATTTTTTTTGGGATCAAGGATTCAAAATCTTAAATTTTTTTTGAGACTCCTTTTGTAATTTCACTGTAGTTACTTTAAAATTTGACTACTGGTTAATTAGTTTTTGTTTTTTATTTTTTTTGGCCAACTGTGAATTTTATGGGAGCAAAATTTCCTTTGTGTGGATGAGATTTGTGCACCATTTTAGTAATCAAAAGGCGCATTCCTGATTCTCCTAGCCATACACCTTAGGGAGGAAACTTAGGGGTCGTAAAATGGGTCATAACCTATCAATTCGTTCATATTCGTTCGTTTTAAAATGAATATAAGTAAATCATTTTAAAATATAAGTCAAAATGGGTAACTCATATTTAATCCATTTTTAAATAGGGTTAAATACGAGGTTAAATGGGTTAAATATGGGTCATCCATTTTAACTCATATTTCACTTATTATATAAGAAATTCAGTTTCACAACCTATATTTGACTCAAATTCACCTATTCCTTTCTAAAATTCTCTCACGATCCCAAATTCTCTCTCTCCCACTCTCTCTGCATCATAGATTCCTTGTGTATGTAATACTAAGGCTCGAAAGAAATCTATGTTTACATCTGTATTTTAAAATAGGACGTCCTGATTTATTCATTTAATTATTTATTTTATAAAAAGCTTAACAAATGATTTCATATATATATATATATATGTATGTATGTATAATATCTTACCTTCATGCATGTTGTGATATCCCTCGGATCCGAGATACGGGTTAATCAGGCCCAAGCCTAAACCTGAGGGAATATCAAACAATTAAAGTATTATAAATCGAACACGGAATACAAAACCGAATTAAAAATAAATATTACATAGCTGGAAGAAACTAAAATATAATCCTTTAAAATTAAATACTTAAAATCCAAAACTTCCAACAGTTTAACAACTCGGGAATCCATCTATTGGACCCCTAATACGAAAATCCAAACCGAAATATAAATAGCTAAAAGAACATCTAAGATGAAGCCATGGAGAGAAGTTCTACGTCGTCGTAACAGTGAGTGATAGTCTCTGCTCAGCACGATCTAGTCTAAGTCTGGAACTGGCGAATACCTGAAAAATATAAGTAGGTCAGGCCCACGAACAAGTTCTATCCTACTACAATCCAAGCAGAAACTCAATACGCATATACATTCTAACCAACTCAACAATAACTATATAATCCGTATATATTTATATATCCATACTACAGGATTCTCACTGGATTATGCAGGGGGTCTCAACCTGAATAGAAGGTAACATGCAAAGCTCACCTGAGTGGGCATGAGTATCTAAACCTAATAGGGTATACCTCAACCTAGCATATCCAGCTACGCATCCTACTGCATATATGCTCCCTAACCGTCGACTCTGAGACTCAAGCTCATTTTGCGGTACCATAAAAATATATCTAAATTTCTATCCTATCCATCCATAAGAAATCTAGTTAGTCATAAAAATATATCTAAATTTCTATCATATCCATCCATAAGAAATCTAGTTAGTCAGTCAGCTTGTGCAATTTCTTTAACTTAACATAGATAACCAATAATCCAGTTAGTCATTCAGCTTGTGTAGCTTCTTTGACTTAAGTATAAGTATGATTTATTTTATAATGCATTCCCTTATTCTGTATCAGTATGATTTATTTTATAATCCATTCCCTTATTCAGTGTAGATAGGATTTAGTATTTTGAAACTAATCCAAACCTAGGCATGCCACCGTCCCATACCGGCGCATATAATCCAACATCCATCAGTTGATAAAACAAGTAATAAATGTAGTTATCAACTATTTCATATATCCAGCAATTGATGGCAAAATATTAAATATAAATATCAACTGTTCCATATTAAGCATGATACAATTATATAAATTAACAGGCTTATTCGATACTACTTCGCAAAGTCCAATAATTGATTCAACAGGACATACATGTAAACCAACTTAATCCCAAATAAGCATACTAGAATATATAAATTCACAAGCTTATTTTTATAACACAGAGGCAGGATTAACGAAGAAAAATATTACTTTAGATTGTTACTCTAAAATTTAAGCAACTCAGAGTTTTTTCATCCAGAGACAGCAAATAATTTATTTCAACCATGTCTACTGACGAACCAAACACAAGGTTGCTTTATTCTGCATAAATCTTCAATCAGAGATTTTAATCCAGCCTAGAACATCTCCAAGCACCTCAATACATCTCCTACCAGAACCTGAAAATCCCAAAATCCAAGCACTATAGCCGAAATAGTAGCCAAAAAACCCAGAAAAATGCAAAACTGGAGAGAGACTGCTCCCTCAAAGAGGGTGCCGCCTCCTTCAAGATTGGAGCCGACTCCTCACCATGGGGATCTGCTTCCTTGGCCTCCAGAGCCAGCTCCCTCTTTGAGGGAACTTGCTCTTTCATTTGGGGAGCATGTTCCCCTCCATCAAGAGCCGGCTCTCCCTCTGTTCTTCGTCTCTGTCAACTCCAGCAGGTTTACGACGGTCTGCCCTCCATTCCTAGGATACCTAAGTGTTTAAACTATGTCTCAGCAGGTTCAAGAGGCAACTAAATTTTTTATACAACTACCGACATCAAATTAAACATGTATTGTATAAAAAGAATTTACCGAGTAACTTAACATTCATATGCACCTACAGCTTCAGACAACTCAACCTTGCAAACAGATTAATCTTAGTGCTATTCCAAGGTGTTCCAGATTAATTTAACTCTTTACACATCAACGGACATGAATTAAATCAAGAGATATGCAAGAAAGACTTTAAAACAATCAATACAGAACTTATAAACACATCCAGTTTTTAAGCATTCAAACATGCAATCTATTTAATTTTTTTTTTTTTGTTTTATCTTGATTCAATCCTGGAGTTGTATTAGACATGTAAAGAATACGAGCCAAAGAGATAGAGTTAGGATTAGAATTTGCTTGTAAGATTTTGAATTAAAATCTTTACACCGTCTTCCTAGATTCTCCGGCGAGTCCTACTAACTCTCTGCCTCCATAGTCGTGAATAGGGTTCTAAAACCCTAAGCCACCTTAATACTTATATTTATAGGTTTAAGAAAACACTAACCCTAATTCTAATATAAGATAAAGACGGCCCACTTAATCTATGTTTAAGGCGGCTAAAAACGTGACTACGAATAACAAACCCTAAATTAAAATAAATGAAACCAATTTCCAGTATGAGAAAAATAAACCTACGCAATTATATAATTAACAAGTAATTCACTTTAATAAAACAATTAATCAAGTAACTCAATTTAATAAAACAAGTAATCAAGTAAATTAATTTAATAAAACAATTAATCAAATAAAAATAACACAAAAATAAGCAATGACATAAATAAAAATGCAATGAAACAATTAAAAACAATTTAAATAATAAATTAAATACCAGGACTATCCTTTTAAAATTAGGGGTATTACATTCTTCCCCCCTAACAAAAGGAATTCCGTCATCGGAATTGGCTCTTACCTTTTTCCAATATTCCAAGAAACTGCGAGTGTATGACATCCTTCCGTTCTCAAATAGACTTGGTCTCATTGTGATGACTCCACTGAACATGAACTAAAGGGATAACCTTGTTACGAAGGATTTGATCCCGATGGTCGACAATACGACACGGTGGCTCCAAATAAGTTGCATCCGGCTGCAACTTAATTTCCCTAACATCGATATGTTGATACCGATCCTTATCTCGCAGCAATTTTCGCAACATGGAAACATGGAACACATTATGTACGCGATCCAAATGATCCAAAAGTGTTAACCGATAAGCAACAGTACCAACTCGATCCATTATCATGAATGGACTGACAAACCTTGGTGACAACTTCCCTTTCTTCCCAAAGCGCATTACTCCCTTCATAGGAAACACTTTGAGTAGAACCTGATCCCAACCTGAAACTCCAACGCATGAGTACGACGATCTGCATAACTCTTCTGCCTACTCTGGGCAGTGCGCATTCGATCTCTAATAAGAGCAATCTTCTCAAAAGTATCCTTGATGAACTCAGGACCCAAGAATCTGCTCTCACCAACCTCCATCCAACAAACAGGAGATCGACACGGTCGGCCGTATAACGCCTCAAATGGTGTCATCCCAATAGTCTTCTGGAAACTATTGTTATATGCAAACTCCACAAGTGGCAAATAATCCTCCCAGTGGCCCTTGAAATCAAGAACACATGACTAAAGCATATCCTCCATGATCTGATTTACCCTTTCAGTCTGTCCATCAGTCCGAGGATGATAAGCAGTGCTAAGATGCAATTTTGTACCCAAAGCCTGCTGAAAAGTTTTCCAAAATCTTGACACAAAGCTTGAATCCCTGTCCGATATAATGGACAACGGAATACCATGCAATTTCACTATATCTGTAATGTAAAGTCTCGTCAACTGTTCCAATGTGAAGTCAGTGCGAATAAGCAAGAAATGAGCTGACTTAGTCAATCAATCCATGATGACCCAAATGGAATTGTGATCCATAAAGGAATTAGGCAATCCCTCCACGAATCCATAGAAATGCTCTCCCATTTCCACTCCGGTATCGGTAGTGGCTGTAACGCTCCTGGCGGCCGCTGATGATCAATCTTGACCATCTGACAAGTACTACACTGAGAGGCAATAATAGCAATATCCTTCTTCATACCTGCCCACTAAAACTGCCATTTCATATCCTGATACATCTTGTCTCCTCCTGGATGAACAGAAAACTCAGAATGACGAGTCTCAGTCATCACATCCTTCCTTAAATTGTCAGCAGAAGGTACCACTAACGGTCCCTTGTACCTCAAACC